TAAACCAGATTGAATTATGGCTAATGATAATGAATAATAAAGCATAGAAATGTATTATTGTAGCTTTAAGGAGACTGAAACACCAACCCTGAACTCATATTGAACCAAAGAGCCGATATCATTTTCTGATTTCATTGCTTTCAAATCTTTTACTTCTCCTCCAAATAATAATTGGGAAGGTTTAGCAAGACTACAAAGACAAAAAACAAGCATTCTGTTATTCAGAGAACAGCAGTATTTTCATTCAGTCACAAGCATTGCAGAATCCACATTAATGCTTGAACACTACCGTTCAGTAAGATTTAAAAAATGTTTTTGAAAGATCTCTCATGACCTCACCTAGGCTACATTCATTGGACCAAAAAAGAAAAGATTAAAAAATATATATATTTTAAACATATTATTATCAATATTGAAAACAATATTCATCCTTGACGAACAGAAAGTTAAAAAGAACAGCATTTATTTGAAATAAACAAATGTCATTACTGTTACTTTTGACAATTTAATGTGTCCTTGGTAAATAAAAGTATTAATTTCCTTCAAAAAACATTTTTGGTTAACAATTAACAAGACTTACCCAGCGATTTTTAGATGCAGTTCAAAGATAATTTTTGCTTCTGCAACGACTTCTGGAATATTTTGAATGCTGATCCTATTGCCAAAAAACAAACAAACATTTATTACAAAAATAGTAAAAGATTTAAACTTCCAAACCCATTAGCTTTTAAAGTTCTTCATACTATAAACCTTTATACTACTTCTATTAAGTATTATGTCGATTAATTGTTAAACTAGCGGTAAGATATCATCACAGCTAGAGTCTTCTTACGTTTTTAGCAACATAGTCACATTAGCGCTTGTTACTCTCAAGGAAAGCCTTTCTGTGTTAAGTATCAGGAAGAATGAAACCTGAAAATGTTGAAAAGAAAAAAACATGAATTAGGAGGCTGACAATGTGCTTGATGGTCTGAGTAAAATTGTTATTACTTTTCATACCTTTGAGTCTCTTTTAAAAGGATTTCCAAGTTGGCAGTCAGCCTGTGTTTTATTTTCATTTGGGTTACACTGCACCTGAGCTTCCTGCACCATGATAAAAGACAAAAGGTATTTGAAAACACCACCTACGTATATGTAAAATCTGAACGAATGTACACTAAAACACTTAATTTAAGAGTTCTTTCAATGAAATAACATGTTTTGTTAGCTTCAATTTGCTCAGTCATTGTTTAGTGAATAAAATAGACAAAATGATAAATATACTGTATTGTTGGACAATATTTTAAGACAGTAATACTGGTCTACAAGTCTGCAAGGTGTGTGGGCAAGGTTTACAATGTGTACGAACCAAAACTATTAATTAACTTTTATTTAGCATGCTAACATGCACCACTAGTTATCTGAAACTTCTAGTTCATACAGTTTAATTGAGGACAGTAGGGAATACTTTAGACACAACTTGAGACTCCTCTTAAAATCCGACATTCTATTTTTTGAGCGTACAAGTCTAGGCCTGAATATGACAGTCCTTCCAAACAGATGCAACAGAGTGTTATACAAATGTGACTGCATTATGGTAAAAAACAAAACATAGTCAGGCTTTTTGATACAAACTTGTCGAGAATTACACAGAAATGTGTTTTCAGTAAAATGGGGCACTCACACTACTCTTCTTCGGCTCGACTGATGATAGCTGGAGAAATTCTGGAAACGCCACAGAAAGTTGGCTCTGGTGTGCATCATCTCCACCTATGTTGGTTACAGTGACCTCCAGGGCAAGATTCTTATCACCAGGAGAAATGACAGGAATATCATTTTCCCTTCAACACACAAAGATACAGCCAAATTCAGGAATGCCAAGGAAGGTTTTTTTCTTTTAAAGTCTATATTACAAAATGTGCCAAATATGTAGCTAATAAGCAAAGTGTATTGCGTAATTCCCACATAATGTGATTATTACTTGATTATTGCCCCTGAGATATTAAAACTAATAGGTCCACATTTGTCAGTACATGTTTTGCAGTTACAGCAACAAAACACTAGCTTTATACAAACTTCATTCCAAGTATCAATCATGTGCAATTTTTGAGCAATTGAAAAAACACCAGTCCTAAATCATGCACAAGCCACATAGACAATGGTTTTACATGGCTAGAGGGTCACATTTGTCTTGTTGTTGGTCTTTGGTGCAGAACCTATACTCGAGCTGCAGGTTACTCTGACAGATGTTGTCACTTCCACAGCCGGCATTTCTAAAGGTGACCTGGGAGACAAAATATCACGTGACAAAGAAATCCAAGTTTGAGACCGGTAAATATTAAAGCAATACAAGTGTTATGGTAGATTTTGCAATTTACCTCTGCTTTGGTTGCATTTTCTTGCAGAGCGTTCAGAACTGGCTCTAAGCCAGGGAGGTTTCTGACTGTCTGTTTTGGATTGTTAGATGGCAAAGAAACAGACAGGCTGATGAAAATGCTGGTTAGCTTATCCTGGATATCTCCCTAAGACACAATAAAATGGTTTTCATCATGAATTCTCACTTGCAATTCTTAAAACCAGCAAATCAGAGTGCGAGTTGATAGTACCAGC